TTCAATCCCGTGTCTGGGTTTTGCTAGACACCTGCAATCTGGACAACACAGGTGTGTGAAGTGTCCTTATATACTCAGGTCTGAGATTAGCTCAAGGCTCCCAGTTGGAATATGCTCCCAGTGGGGGAGTCAGAAGGTCTCATCAAGGGGTCAGAGGACCAAGCCGGAAGCCAGGAAACAGAGGTTTCATTTCCAGGAGTCAGGTCAGCTCCTATCGGGGTGTCAGGAGAACCCCAATCCATAGGCCAGAGGTGGGCCTTACAGCAGGGTGCTGTGCCTAAACGTTAGAGAGCCAAGTATCCAGGAGAGGAACTGCAATTGAAGCTGAACTTATGAGCCAGGTGGCTCTGCATTTTCCAGTGTATGGATTTCTGTTCATGTCGGAGAAGATCCCATGCGTGGGATATCATTTATTTGTGAACTTATGCTTTCTGTTAAATAAAAGTGGGCTACCAAGCCCTTTAGAATAGTTCTTATCTGCTGTGGACTCACTGAAATAATGCATCTACCACGTGAGCTAACTACCCCATGTCACAGTATTCACATTTATTATGCCCAATACCAGAGGATCCTGCTTTCTCTGTGGGATTTTAGTAATATATCAATTATGGGGAACACAACAGGAAGAGTAGGTGCACCACTACACAAGATGACCAAAAGAAACTAGGAACAATTACAGGAACAAGATTCCACATACATTATATGTGAAACATACATTTTGAATGATCTGACCTTTTAAATGGAAACTTCATTTAAACCTGTACTCAATTTATTTTTTTTTCAAATATTGCCTAAGAGTGGACACAGATGATACATGATTCTCATTATTAAGTCAGGAAAGCCTCTTCTGTGCCTCTCTTTGATTTAGTTACCCTATGTTACTGGTCATAGAACAAATATATAAAAATAAACAGTGCAATTAAGGTTGACCCAACATTATTATACTAGAGAGCATAATAAAAATACAATTTTTATTAACAAAGACATCAATGAAAACATTACATATCAATATAAACTATAATGGCAAGAATCCACTAGAAAATGTCTGTCAACGTGTTTCTCAGTCCTATGCAGCTACTTTAGGACATCAGTTTTCTTCATAGAATAAACTGCCACATACTGGTGAATTTCATCTATTATACATATAATATTATGTGAATACATCATATACCTACAAAAAAGGTGATATAAACAAAATACTCAAAATATATGTTTTTTTACAATATTAAGAATTAGCAGTCCTATCCCACAAGAGAAGGGGGCTGACCACATGCAAAAAAAAGAAAGAAAAGAACCTAAATAGAACAAAACAAGTAAACAATGCAAAAAAAAATTACATGGACATCCAAAGGTGGCTTTTTTTAGAGATATATGGCTAAACCCGCAGATACTGTCCACCGGTATCCTAATAATCACGTTTCAGGGGTTAGCACTTCTTGTATGCAGCAGAACGTTTTTTTTATATTTAAAGTATCCATTATGGTCTCTAGTATAATACTGTTGGTTCATCTTTAAACACCCAGTTTAATTTTATATATTGATTCCTCTTTTTGTTGTGGGTATTTATGTTGGTATAGCATTAAAGGGTTATTACCCCTTTTCCTTCACACATTTATATACTGTGTGTGTATATATATATATATGTGTGTGTGTATATATATATATATATATATATATATATATATATATATACATATATATTTAGTTTTTTATTATTACCTTTTTTACCAGTCCTTGCCTTTTCCCAAGTTTGTGGCTAAGCCAGAGGATCCTTACTGCCCTGTCCAATGAAAGTGCCTCTACAAACTGCCAACCACCCTGTCCAATTAGGCTGCCTCTGCAGACTGCCAAACCTCTTGTCTAATCAAGCTGACATCCCTTTTGTCCAATGAAAATACATCTACAGAATACCAACCTAACTGTCCAGTGAGGTTTCCTCTAAAGATTGCATTCCCTTCTGCCCAATAAATCTTCCTTCACAGACTATCAACTTCCCCATCCAGTGAAACAACCTCCATTGACTGCCAACCCTCAGTCAAATGAAGATGCCTCCACACACTGCCAAACCTTAAGTCTGACAAAGCTGCCTCCGAAGACTGACATACCATCCGTCTAATGAAGCTGCCTGTACAGACTCCCAACTCAACTGTTCAGTGAGGCTTCCTCCAAAGACTACAGCCCATTCTGCTCAATGAAACTCTTTCAACAGACTGCCAACGCTTCTGTCCAATTAAACTGACTGCAGACTGCCCTCACTGTGTGTAATGAAGCTGTCTTAGTGTCCAATACAGGCCAGCAGTTTATTTTGTGGCACCTTACTGCTTGTTTGGGAAGGTAATGTTAATTGTTTTTAGATGTTATGGGAAAATAACTTGTGCATGTTTGCTTTCTAAAATGCCAATCCAAGCTGGACCAATATTGCCATACCTAAACTTTAGCTTTAAAGCTGAACTCCAGGTACACAAACGTTAATTGAAATATATTCATAAATAGGCAGAAAGAATATAAATCCACTCTGTGTGCACCAAATGCCTTAAGAAAGCCCCATTATTGAAAAAGTAGTAGTGACACCATCATTGTGCTATATATAGCCTGGGTAAAGAGCAGAGCTGTGGAAGGGACCCATCAGACCACACTCACTGCAGGCTGTCTACAAAAAGCTTCAGGAGGGGGCAGATAAAAGACTAGTCACCCTGGAAAAGCAGAACAAGCAGCAATGACTGGTCTTTATTACAGGATGCTTCTGCACATGGGCAAAGTTTCACATTGGAGAGAAAAAAAATAAAAATAAAAAAGTGAGCGCTCTCCAGTCAGCAGCCAATGCACTTAAGGTAATCTCAGCAAAACCTTCCAATATATACAAAAATAGAAAGTGCGGAGCTAATAATTATGAATCTAGAAAGTCACATATATATCTCAAATGATCTGAGAGACACACTGTGATATGTAGCACAAAGAGAGGTTATGGCTGATGCATGAGGTGATATTATATGTCCAGACAAGTTGTAGCAGGATCCTGCGTAGGGATCAAATGATAAGAATGCGCACTCACCAGGCGCGCTATAGATATGCGCATTTTATTTATATCCACTGGAAATCCCTCATCTGGTGGGGAAGGTAGGCATCCGTCTGGGAGCAGATGGTCCTGATGTTCCCTCTTAGTGGTATGTGATAAGCAGCTTCCAGGTCCAGAGATCCCCTTAAGGCTGGATAGACTTTTCCTCTGGATATAGAACTCCCTCCGGTGGTAATGGTGGGTAATAGGATATCCTGGAAGTTATTAGCTCCAATGGGAGCCAAAAAAGTGCCTTATAGTCTCAAATATTTGACCCTCAAGGAGTCATAAAGCATAATGTATCACCACATGATCCCAGGCAGGATGGATCTCTCCCTCTGGCTGGACACAGGAATAACTCCCACCGTAATCAATCACTAATCACCGAATGATCCCAGACAGGATGGATCTCTCCCTCTGGCTGCACACAGGATTAGCTCCCACCGTAATCAATCACTAATCACTGGATGATCCCAGGCAGTGATTAGTGATTGATTACGGTGGGAGCTAATCCTGCTACAGAGCAGCATGGGTGTGCAAAATCACATATATGTACATGATTTGGCATTTCTGGGTAGGGGGCGCGTGCCCTACCCATGCTGCCATTCGCGCCCGCGGCTGTTAATTACCGGGTCCAGACCGGAGATTACTTGCCGACGCGCGGTGATTGACGAGCATCTCAGATGGGGAGGAGAACTGTTTGTAAACAAAACAGCTCTCCTCTCTGTCAGGTCGTGCACACTGCTTTCCATGGCTATGCACAGCACAGCCATGCAAAGCAGTGTGCTTACAGTGAAGCACACTGACACAGCACCAAGTAAAACAGCATACAGTTTTCTTTTCGGCACACAGTGATTGCCGAGTATCTCTGACGGGGGGAGAGACCTGTGTATAAACAACACAGATCTCTCCCATGTCAGCTCCTGTACACTGCTTTGTATGGCTCTTCATAGCAGAGCCATACAAAGCAGTGTGCTTACAGTGAAACACAGCCTCATAGTAAAACTGCACATAGTTAACCCTTTGATCGCCCCTCATGTTAACCTCTTCCTGCCCAGTGCCGTTAGTACAGTGTCAGTGCTTTTTTTTAACACTGATCACTGTATTGCTGTCAATGGGGATAGTCAATGACACCAAGTCAGTTCCCTTCAGTTTAAGAATGCCTGCCACAGTCCCGCAGTCCCGCTATAAGTCGCTTATCGCAGCCATTAGTAGTAAAAACGAAAAAAAAAAAAAAAAAATTACAGTATATATACCGCCATTTGCAAATGCTATAACCTTCATGTAAACCAAATTAATTTACACATATTGGGATTTTTTTTTTTAGCAAATAAATAAATAAATATATAAATATTGTTTTTTTTCTAAAAATTGTCAGTCTTTTTTTTATAGTGCACAGGCGATCAAATACCACTGAAAGAAAGTTCAACTTGAGGGAAAAAAAGTATGTAAATTTAATTTGGGTGCAGCGTTGCATGACCCTGCAATTGTCAGTTAAAGTAGCACAGTGGTGTAACGCAAAAAATGGCCTGGTCAGGAAGCGGGGTAAATCCTCTGGAGGGCAAGTGGTTAACAAATGTTTTAGATTGAGCTGCGAGCCACAGATGCACTGCTGTCTTCATGTCTTCATCAGAAGTGAATCTTCATCCTCGTAAGGCAGCTTTCAGAGGACCAAACAGGTGAAAGTCCAGTTGAGCAAGAACATGACTATATGGAGGATGCTGTCATCGGCCGAGGACATCCAATAAAAATTTTTAAAAATCAAATTTCTTCATAAATTTAGGCCAACATGTATTCTGCTACATGTCTTTGCTGGAAAAAGTCACAATACATGTAAATCAATTGGTTTACATGAAAGGTATAGCGTCTACAAATGGCGGTATATATACAGCAATTTTTATTTATTTGTTAAGCTAGTAACGGTGGTGATCAGCAACTTATAGCGGGACATTCTGACACTGGGGGGAACTGACTAACTGCCACTGTCATCTCAATTACACTAATTCAGTGATCAGTGCTAATAAAAAGCACTGACACTGTACTAATGACACTGGGCAGGAAGAGGTTAACATCTGGGGTGATCAAAGGGTTAACTGTGTGCTGTGTGTGTTTTACTGTGAGCTGTGTTTTACTAGGGAGACATGCTGCTTTGTGTCTGTTTGCTGTGCAGAGAGATACAAGACAGCTTGTCTATGCTGACAGGAGAGAGACCTGTGTTGTTTACACACAGGTCTCTCCCCTGTCAACTTTACCTGATGATCGCCAGGAATTGCCGGCCAGGACCCTGTGATTGACATCCCTAACCACCAATAGCAGTGTGGGTAGGACGGTGCGTGCTTGTGCCTCCTACCCAGAAATGCAAATCATGTGTGTAAATATATATATGTGTGTGATTTTGCGAAGCTCTGCTGCCCTGTAGCAGTACTTCTGCTATAGGGCGGCAGGAAAGTGGTTAATATAATGCACCCAATAACGACTTAAAGCGGAATTCCACTCACTCTGTAAAAAAATAAAAGTCAGCAGCTACAAAAACTGTAGCTGCTGACTTTTAATTTAAAAAACAGCCGTTCACCTGCCCCATGATCCCTCGTTACCCCTCGCTGCAGCCCGTTTTACTGGCCTTCCTGTATTCCAGGTGCCGGCATCTTCAGTGTGGGCACCCGGCTGTGATAGCTTGCAGCTTCACAGCCGGGTGCCCACCTCGCATGCGCGAGCAGCGCTGCGCTTCCTGAATGGCCCCGTCGTCTTCTGGGACCTGTCACATGTTCCACAAGAGTATGGGGAGGGAGGATAGGAGAACAACTTCCGTTTCCGATCGCCTAGGTGATCGCATCAGAAGTGGGAGTGGGTACCTGTCAAATTCGGGTACCCATTCTCCCCCCGTTCCCCAAAGGTGCCAATCCTTAATGGGGAGCGGGGGAGCAATCTTTAAAGCAGAACTTCCCCTTTTGGGCGGAACTCAGCTTTAAAGTACATAAACCATGAACATCAGGCTCACATTTCAGTTTGTCTCTTAAAAAGGTCATCTTATTCAGCTGTCAGTTTGTAAAACATGTTTGTGCAACCTAGGAACATGTAATGTATGATAGTGATGACGGTCATCTCCATCTACTTAGTTCAATTTCATCTCACTAGAGCACACACATGAACCCCCCCCTGAAACCCGCAAGAGGAACTTCAAGGTTTTGACTGCCTCCACACAGTTTAATCAAACATTGAATTTTGAGCCAAATTTTGATCCATCTGTGGCCACTTTAGGATGCAAATTTTTAAATATTATCTGTCTGTTTATTTGTATATTCCCATAAATCTTTGGAAGTCATTTTACTATTTTTTCTGTTGCTTTATGTGTAAAATGGCGCACAAATTCATTAGCTCTCTTTGTAGCCATTGATGTTGAACAATGAAATATTCACCTTTGTTAAACAAAATCAAAGCACTAGCAGCTTAGCAACCTAGGATATAAGTGTTTTTGTAATGCAGGGCAGACACAAAATGTGCTATTTTTATGATTTGTGTGTTGGCACCTGTATTGAAATATTTTGTCATCAGTTGCCTTGCAGAACTTCCACCACAAAGCTGAAGAATGCTTAGATATAGCTTGTTATAATTCTCTCAACTCTAGGCAAAAAAAAAAAAAAAGAAACTGTTTGACAGCTTTCAAGAGACACCTCACGCTAACTGATACTATCTGCTCTTGCTCATAGTGTTTATGAAACTTTAAAAAATGTGTTGTGAAGATGAAATTTTCTTCCCACAAACGTGTGCAGCTGATTGATTATGTTCTATGTTTCACAGGATCAGCACCTGAACAAGGACAGAATTTTTACAGCTACAAAACAGTCACTTTAATTCAGATTTATAATACAAACTTCTTGAGTTGAAGCGTGAAGATTACCGAGTATTAATGAAACACCTTCATCTGGTGCATATGGTACAATGAAAGTCAAGATTTCTTAAAGTGGACCGAACTCAAAAAGTGAAGATTTACTATCTTATAGGGAACATCTAGAAATGCTGATTGTGCATAAACAGCACCCTGAAATATTTACTGTTTAATTTGAATTCCCTGAAAAATGGCAGCATACTTCCTGTGCCTAGGCACTCCTGTGCCTAAACTACTTTAATACGGCGCTAGAGCTGAAAAATGGCTACAGTGCGGTTCTGTCATTCTGGAAGGGCAAATATAGATGTCCTCCCAGAACATGCCTCATGTGTGCCCCCTGGGGTGTGCACCGGGCGAACTCTGTTACCGCAGTGTCCTTTGGACACAGTTGATCACAGATCACGGTAAAGGGCCAATCATAGAGGCTCTTTACCATGTGATCAGCTGTGTCCAATCACAGCTAACCACATGTAAACAAACTTGCTAGTTATCAGAAGTCTTTTCTTCACACCTTGTGTCTGTGTTAGGAAGAGACAGCTGATACCCAGCAAGGCTGTCAGCGATTTGTTTACAATAATAATCAGGGCACTGATCATCAGTGCCCTGATAATCAGTGCAGCCCCAGCAGTCCCATCAGTGCAGCTTTTCAGTGCCCAACAGTGCTGCTTATCAGTGCCACCTATCAGTGCACCTATCAGTGCCTCATCAGTGCAGCATCGTCAGTGCCCATCAGTGCAGCCTATCAGTGCCCATCAGTTTAGCCTCATCAGTGCACATTAGTGAAGAAAAAAAAATTATTATTTGCAAAATTTTACAACAAATGAAGAAAAAGTTTTTTTTTTCAATATTTTCATTTGTTTACCAAAAAAAAAAAAAAAAAAATACCACCAATCTATCTATCTATCTATCTATCTATCTATCTATCTATCTATCTATCTATCTATCTATCTATCTATCTATCTAATATCAATATACTGTATCTCTCTGTTGTTTCTCTTTCCAATCTATCTAAAAAAAAAGATAAAATTTTCTTTTGGGTACAGTGTTGCATGACCACAATTGTCATTCAAAGTGCTACAGCCCTGAAAGCTGAAAATTTGCCTGAGCTGGAAGGGGGTGAAAGTCCCCAGCATTGATCCTGGTTGAAATCACCTTTTGATCTTTGATTTGAAATCTTTGTTCTACTCCTTCTGAAGGGTTTTCCAGAATGGATGACAACGATTCTCTGTTCCTGCACTGACCAATCAGGATTACACTGATTCGTCCTGGAAGCCCTGCATATAGAAGAGGGGGAAAAACAGGGATTTCAAATCCTTGGACTGCTACATTGGCTTCATGGGCACTGACAGCTTATCACCCACAAAGGTAAGTAAGCCAGGGGAAGGGGGGAACAGATTGTAGGATATTAGTTCACCTTTTCATTTTTTCTGAAACTGTGAACTAATGTTTATACTTCACAGCTTTCTATCTGTAGTGTGAGATCACTGGAATGATATTTGATAATATCAGTGCTGTGCTACTCACTGTTTTCCTTGCTGAAGAGGAAGCTGTACCTAAGGACATGCAGTGTAAGGATCTCTCTGCTTCTGCTTTTGTGGATCAGTGTTCCCTTCATCTCTCTGCTGCTTCTTGGTCAACCAATCACTGGATTACTAATCATCAGGGTGATCAGCGCAAACATAAGACAGCAAAGCCCTGCCTCTACCAAGATGGCTACCTCCACACAGAGACACAGCACAGAACAAGGCCTCTAAGTCAAATGTGAACAAATTATCAGCCGATGGGAGCCCACAGGCATTACTGGCGACTAGTACTTTGGAATCTGCGCACATGATACAGGTCCTCCAAAAAAATGGGAGTCTACATCAATATTTTCTATATTTTCCAATACTAGAGATGGGGTCAATTTCTGCATAGGCTACCTAGGCCTTGGCTAGAGGGGTAGAGCTTTTAAGCCATCTATATATCATGTTGTTGTTATCAGTAACATATTTTCAAGTAAAAAAAAAAAAAAAAAAAGGTTCCAGACTACCAATTACCACCCGGAAATGTAGGAGAGGTCTTCAAAATTTGGGATCCTTGGCTTTCCAAGTATCTCACCAAAAGGGCCATGATTTCATTCTGGGTTAGAGGCTGTGGGAACCAGGAGTGAAAGATAACATATTTTTTTTTTTTAATGTTTGGTTGCACTTATTTACCTCAGGTGGGGGTTTAAAAGACAAAGGTTAAGTCACGCTTCCAGAATAATTAACAAATTATTAATATTTAAAGGAAAAAACACATTATGATCACTAATATACAGTACAAAAGTGAATCTATGCTTTTTTTTTTTTGCATAGTTAGAAGGGGTAACTTATTTCTTAGGTGCTTTGAAATATAGCACAATAATTCTAAAAAAATAATTACTTATACATACGAGGCTTCTGCAAAAAGTTTCCACACTTCTTTAACACACACACACATATATGGAAAAACAAATTATTTTATATATATATATATATATATATATATATATATATGTACTGTATGAATAAAAGTACGTAAACGTTTTGAAGAACTCTTGTATATACAACCATCTTAAAACCACAATAGTGGCCCACCATTATGACTGTTATACAAAATAGTATAATTATAGTTAATATATAACTACAATTTAATCATATTCTGTACGAAAATAATGCCTAGTGAAGTACCTAGTGCTAGTACTTTTTTGAAGATATATATATATAGATATATTTAGAAAAGTGTGGAACTTTTTGAAGACCCCTCGTATATTAAAACATCTTAAAACCACAATAGAGGCCCCATTACAACTGAGTGCTCTTTACAAAATAATATAATTATAGCTAATAAATATCTACAATTTAATTACATTCTGTACCAAAATAGTGCCCAGTGAAGTACCCAGTGCTGGTACTTCAGAGCCACAAATTGACTATAAGGGGTCATGAATCTGCAGAGCAACATTTGTGAGTGGCTACGTATGGTACACATTGATGTATGTATATGTGTGCCATTTAAGATTAGCCATTCTGTGTGCACATTGCTGGATGGAGCTCCATTGCTCATGCCTGTTCCTGTGCTTGAGTGTTTTTTTGCTGGCCTGTTTTCAGCTTGTTGCCTCCTGTCTTGTTCCTTTGGTTTGATGCCTGGCTCTACTTTGCATCTACTCGCTCCAACAACCCAAAGGCAATCTGCTTATCACCTTATTTTCCACTTGGGTCAGACTGATCCTGGTACTTGACCTTGGTACCCCATTGACCAAGCCTGTACTTCTGACTATGTCACTTCTTCTGTAGCCACTCTGCTTCTGTTTGGGCTTTACCTTCTCTTGTGAATCAACCTGAAACCAATGTATCCATGGAGCTTATAGTATCTGCACTATCAGCTGTTCACCAT